GTGGTGGTGGTGGTGCTGCTGTTCCTTCTTGGGGGGTGAGGAGGCGCTGCTGCTGCTGCGCCCCTTGGGGCTGCTCTCCTTGCTTTTCCGGCCAGGGCTCTTGCAGGTCTTCAGTCCCTTCCCACTCTTCTCACCGAGGGTGGACACCAACAGGGGCTTCACCACCTCCTTGACCTCGATGCTGACCGTCTCCCGGGTCTTGCGCTTCTTGATGGGGAGCACAGTCTCCTGCACAGATCGGATGGGAGACTCCTTTCCCTCAGCAGCTGCAGCCGCTACCACGCTCCCTGGTTTCCGGCCCCGTTTCTTAGGAATGGCCTGAGGGTCGGCCTCGGCTTTTCGCTTCCTGCCTGGTCGTTTGATCACCATGACCTGGGCAGAAGTGGTGGCCCCGCCCCCCTCAGCTTTGCCCCCTGGAGAAGCTTGAAAAGGCATCTTGACAAGGAGCTTCCCAGGGCTTTTCTCCAAGACCCTTTTCACCTGCACGCCCTCTGCTGCTGCTGCTTTGGGTCTCGTGGTGCCGCTCCCTTTGGGGCGTCCCCGACCTCTGCCAGTTCCTGGAGCTTTGGGAGATTTGGGCTTCTTAGGTGGTTTTTGCTCTCGCCGGGAGGGGCTCCCTCTCCCAGTTACCGTGAAGTCAAAATCATTAGGGTCCAGGGAGGTGTCGCCTACCTTTTCGAAGTATGCTATCAACTCCACTTTAGAGCGGAAGGCTTTTCCCTGGGGACTGTGGGGACAAATGGAGAAACACCAAGAACAATTAGCAGCTTTCTATGGCAATGGAGGAGTGGCTGGTGGTGATGAACACTAGCAGACGTTATCACTGAACAACAGTCACATTTAAGAAAAGCCAAGACCTTAAAATTGGAGACGCACAGCCTAAGGCCGGAACAGCTCAACAGCTGTTGCCTGCAACCAAGGCTGTACCTGTACCTCTGTCCTCCCAGGCCTCTCCACAATGCAGCAACCAAAGGGGTCAGGCTTGATCTGCCATCAGAAAATTCCTGTCTAAGCTTGGTCATGACCCTGAGCTGCTCTGGGAAGAGTTTTCCACAGGGTAATGCTTGGCTCACCCTTCTCACAGTTCCAGAATTAAATGAGACTATCTGCAAATGGCCTCTGAAAACTGCTAACATTTTTTGGATCATTTAAGGGGCAGAACTGCAATGTTCTCCTTCACCCTTCCTCTGAACCTCTGGATCCAGAAGCCACTGCTTCAAATGGAAGGGCCCAGCTCTCAGTCCAAAGCTGGACAAATGCCAAAGGCACAGCTGGAGAGGAGGCCACCTGTCTCTTTCTCCAGAGGCCCTGGAGGAGAGCACACCATTCCCCACACTGATTCAGAGAAGGTCCTACTGCCGTTCCATCTCCAGACCTGGACTCAAGGTGCAGAGGGGTGAAAGGCCTGCTTCCCCGAGAGCTTCCTTCCTACTCAGGCAGCAACTTCTGTATGCAATCATGCAGTCTCCCCACCCTTGGTGGGGGTAGGCCCATGTATTTTCCAGGTCAGTGAGCAACAGAGAGCTGTCACTTAAACCCCTGTCCCCATCCCTCACCCACCCAGCCCTCCTAGCCCTATAGACAGGAGTTGCTTCTACTTACTTGATCAAATACACATCATACTTCCCAGCAGAGCGGCCAGATTTCCTCTGCTTAAGTTTTCGTGTCCAGCCTTCAGGCAGGGTAGGATCGTCATACATGGGTCCCCGATCACGAATGATGGAGCGCCGCTGTTTGGGGGAGGCAGAAGCTTCTGGCACTGCCGGGGCGGAGCCCGATCCTTCTGACATCTCTGCTTTGCCTGCCTCTGCTGGCTCAGCAGAATGGTGAGCAGATGGCTGCAGAGGCTCATGCTTGCCCTCTTTGTCTTCTTTCTTATCTTTCTTCACCTTTTTAAACTTCAGAGGTTTGTCCTTGAGGCCTTGGAGGTCCTGGTCTTCTGACTTCTCTTCCCTGAAGTGTTAAACAAGTATGTCAGTTTGACAGAGAACAGAAAGTAAGCAGGGGCAGGCATGGGGCACCCCAGCACATGCAATGGCCTAGGGCCATTGCATGCTCACGGCTTGCGGCTCTTCCCCAGGATAGGTGAACTGTGGACAAGGCTGGGACCCAGAGATTCCTTTAGGGGCTGTGGGCTGTTGGTAGTGGTGACCAAGTGCACCCAACCTGCACTGTGGCCACCCTGAGTCCCACTGCTAGCATTTGTGCAGGAGAGGACGTGACCTACACAGGTATCTTTCTTCTAAGTAGAAACTTAGAAGATGTGATTTCTAAGGCCACCATGTGACTTCTGAGGCCACCTTGGCCAAGGTCACCTTATGAGTCACATCTGAGAGTCCCTGAGCTTGCCAGCTGACAAAGAGGAGGCCCAACTGCTGGAAAGGAAGCTGCCGCCCAAAACAGGTGAGGGGGTTTCCTGTACAGACACTTGGGCTTGGGTGTAGTTTTGGTTTCCACAAATGTTTAACACACTCATTGAATTTATGCTCAACTAAAAAGCTGCTGAGGAGAGCATAGCCCCAGAACAGTTCCCTGGGCAAGCAGCACATAGGAAAGAATCATGGAAAGGAATGTGCACCTGAGCAAGTGACCTCGCACTCTGTGCCTCAGTTTTCTTATCTCAACAAAGGGCAACCCCACCTCACAGGCATCCTTAAGAGTGAAAATCACAGAAGTCACAAAGGCACTCCATAAATACTGGCTAACTCAAGCCACCAAAAACTGCTGCTCAGGGTTCTGGTGTGACAAGTGAAGATACCCTCACAAAAAAGATGTGGAGGTAAAGAGTAAGGAGAAAGGTGTAGTCCAGGCAGAGCCAACGTGTCCCTTCCTTGCTGGTGTAGAACAGTATCCTCCCCGCTCCATGGTGAGACGCCTCCTGATTTATTAACTTTTTTTAAAATTTGCTATAAGGTACGTGTGCTCACTGGAGGGAGGGAGAGAGGGAGGGAGACAGAGACAGACAGACAGACACAGAGAGAGAAAGTGAGGAAGCACCCCCAGGGCAGAAGGCCATGCTGTAATCTCTTTCTCCGCCACTCTTCTCTCAGGATTTTGGGCACACAAATAGATGTCTGGCATGTTTTTTAAGCTGCCAGGTCTGGGATTCAAACTGTGTGACTGGTCATGTGGGATTCAGTTACCACCTGGCTAGCCCAATTCATTCTTTCACTATGACAGAAGCAGTTCCTTCATTGGTAGGGCTTTGTAGGGCTCCTTCTTCCTGTATTACAGAAATGGCTACTGTGCGGGACAGCTGATAATGCAGTGGTAATGCAACTGGATCCATAGAGGAGTTCCTGGGCTTGTGTCCTGAGGTCTCCCTGTACACACATGCAGGGCATGTGTGTGCCTGTTATCTGGGCTGGCTGAGGCCAAGGATGTGGATCCTGCTGGGGATGCCCATGCCATGGAAGCAATAAATAAGCTTAAAAAAAAAAAAAAGAAAAAGAAATGGCCACTGTGAGTCCCTGGCTCCCCAGGCTCAGAGTCTGGCTATTGATCATGTAGTGATCCATCTGAGGGAGACATGGTTAAGACCCCCTTGGCAAGGCTGCTGCCATCACAGCTCTGTGTTGTGGCCAGCCTAAAGGGAAGCTTGGAAAACAGAGGCTGTTGCCCTTCAGTGCCTCAGGAGAAGAGCATGTCTGTTCCTGTCCTGTGTCCTGAGCTCCAGAGGTTCCTGCCACCATGGCTCAGGTCAGTGCTGGGCCCTGCCTCATGGCTGGCCCACCCTCCCTCCTGTCTATGTTGCAGAACCTGTGCAACCATGGCACCGTGACGTGCACCGGCAAGAGCTATTGGAAAACTAGGACTCAGATAGCTGGGGTGGGTGTAGGGAGCAGGAGTGGCTCCTGTTGAGTGACAAGGTCCTAGTGAGGGACTATTGTGGCCCTACTCCAGCTTGCCCCTGAGTTCATCCCCATTCTGCATCTTCCTCCAGCAGTTTAGGGCCCAGATAGTGGTTTCTGGAGTCACCTAGAGTCAATCTATACACAGATATCTCTCACTAGGTACTATTTTTTTTTTTTGGCTATAGTTGGGGGGCCCCTCATCTGTTCCAATGATACACAGCTGACTTTTTGATGCTGAGTCTTAGGATTCTCAATGGGAAATGAGAAAGCTGGGAAGCTAGGAATGGCTTATGGTCACCTTGGGCCCCTGACTCCTGAGGTTCAGCCTTTGAGGCTGGCCTGCTAAGAGAGGAGGGGAGCTCACCAGTATAGTGGGCTAGAGAGTGCCAGGCAGAAAGCAGCATTTGCTCCCAACCTGCCATGACACTGCCCACTGCCAGGGCTGCTCCTTAGAACCCAAGTAAAAGAAAAACACTGCACTAATGAGAACAGTCTGGCTTCTTCAGAACTCTCATCTGTACTCTAAAATATCTTAACCACAAGAGGTCAAATACAAACCACATGATCAAAGGAATGCCTTCTAGAAATCTACCCTGAAGAGATGCCTTCAAGAATGCCAAGCAACACGTACATGGTATCATTTGCTACAGCACTGTTTCTACCAGTTGAAGATCACAGACCCCTTAGATCCTGGTCTCTCCTGGAACTGTTGAAAGAACTCTGGCATGCCTGCACCCTGGAGTACTGTGTGTGGGACCAATGACAAGCTCCACAAGCTGCTATGACTGTGTGATTTCTAGGATCCATTGTGAAGTGAAAAATGTAGATCATGTGCAAAGTGCAAAAATGTATATCATGTGCCACCTTTTGTGTAAGGAAGCAGAACTGAGGAAGGAAATGCCAGAAACCAATGAAATTGGAACATAAACACTAACAAAGGAGTTTACCTATATCAAATGCATAAAATAGCACAAACCACATTGTTCTGGACAGCCCTAGTGGGATATGTCTTATGGCTGATGACAACAGCCTGAGAGCACTGAACATACATCGGCTCCCAAGATAAATGGATGATTCTAGTTCTGGGGCATCTCGTGGTGCCAGAAAACCATGAGAAGGTGAGAGGACAGCAGCGTAGCCCTGTCAGATGCCTATAGCAGTGGCCCAGGGCATGGACAGTGGAGGATTTGGGACCTATCTCACTGGCTGGTGGACTGTATGGGAGTGAGGGCAGGGAAGAATTAAGGATCACTTCCAAAGCCTGAGAACATGGTGGTTCCACTAGCTGAGAGAGGAAGCCTAGGTGAGGAGTAGACCCAACCTGTAGTTAGAAGACCAAGGTGAGCAGACATAGCTCTCCATAGCTCCTAACCTAATATAGGCCTAGAGGAACCGTTTGGTTAGGGTTCTCATAGGTTTTATTGTGCTAAAATATATGAAACATAAGAGTTTATCTTTTTAACCATTTCTAAGTGTACAATGAATGAACTTCAAAAAAAATTGCCAGAGGTACATGTATTTGCCAGAGAGAAAGAGGGAGACAGAGGGAGACGGAGAAAGTCCTCAATGGGATGTGGTCACATCACAATCCCAAATCCTCCATTTCTCCATCCTGTCAGGATCCTAGGCCATGTGTGCACACATGCCCAGAGTGTTTTTCACATGCCAGGGCCAAGATTTGAACTGCATGGTTTGTATGTGGGATCTGGCTTCCTTAACCACAAGGCTACGAGGCTGGCGTAAAGAAAAAAAAATTTTTTTAAGAGAGGTTTTTGCTATAGGGCGTGTGCGCTCCCTGGAGAAAAAGAGAGACAGAAAGCAAGAAATCACCCCCCAGAGGAGATGGCCTTGCTGCAATTAATTTTTCTCTATTCTCCTCATGGGTTCTTGGGCACGCACGCACATGTGCCAAGCATGAGTTTTAAGCCACCAGGCCTGGGATTTGAACTGTTGTTGACTACGTGGGAGTCCAGCAACGTAACCATTACACCATCTGCTGATCCCTAAAGGAATTTTTAATAGCACTGAAGAGGGGAATATAGTAATTTTAACTCTACCTATAATATTCTAGTTCATTCGTTCTTTCTTCCCTTTTTTATTTTCAGAGAGGTTTTTGCTCTAGGGCGCGTGTGCTCGCCAGAGACAGAGAGAGACAGAGAGACAGAAAGTGAGAAACCCCCCCCCAGGGGGATGGCCACGCCATAATCCCTTCTCCTCCATTCTCCTCTCGAGATCATGGGCACGCATGTACATGTGCCTGGCATGAGTTTAAGCCACCAGGTCCGGGACTCGAACCACGGTCGACTACATGGGAGTCCAGCGACACAGCCATTATGCTAACTGCTGGACCCCTTCCTTTCTTTTTTAAAGAGAAGTTTTTGCTATAGGGCGCGTGCTTTTGCTGGAGAGACAGAGACAGACAAAGAAATAGAAAGCTAGAAATCACCCCCAGGGGGATGGCCATGCCATAATCCCTTCTCCTCCAGTCTCCTCTTGGAATTTTGGGCACACAAGCACATGTGCCCCGTGTGAGTTTTAAGCCCCCAGGTCTGACACTCAAACAGTGGCTGACTATGTGGGAGCCCAGCGATGCAACTATTACACCATCTGCTGGTCCCATATTCTAGTTATTTCAAACTGAAATTACTTAAAGCAAGTATGACAACAGTGATTTTTTATTCCACCCAGTGAAGGGCATACAGGTGTTTGTTAACTTTCTTTTTTGATTATTGCTTCTATATTTAAAAACAGGCCCAACTGTGGTAGCAGCAGCACAAGGCTGTGGCCACATGGGATGCATGGGTTCGGAGCCTGGACTAACCTGAATAGGCCAGGCATGGTGGTGTATACCTGCAATCCAAGCTAATTGGGAGGCTGGGGCAGAGGAGCACAGTGCTTGGACCTTGTCAAAAACTACCACATCTCTCTCTTTTCCTTCCTTAACAAAAACAAGCACCCACAAAGAAGCCTGAATTCTGCTGGGCCTAGGGTGAAGGAAAAAATCATATAAAACGGGTAATCCAAATCAGCTACCATTGGCCCAGAGGCCCACTCAGTCCCAAGGTGACCTGGGCACTCACACACCCTCACTCGTCCTTCACTGAAGGCCCAAGAGGGGTAGGGCAGGCTGGGGTGCCAGGCTACTCTGTGAAGCTGGCCACCTGGGGAATGTAAGGAATGTGCTGAAACATATGCTTCTTCAAAGAAACCAAATACCCCTCTTCATCCTCCTAATCAGACTGCATGTGTGTACGTATACGCATGCATACACATACACACACACACACATCGCTATCTTGAGAGGGTTATGAGGAGAACTTGGCACTTAGTTCACAAGTTCACGCATCTTAAGAGTTGGGAAAGCACCTATTCAACTCGAGTATTACGGATGAAAAACAAGGAAGTTTAATTAGACAAAGGAAATTGTCTGAGGTCACGGCTGAATTGACGGTCAAGGAAGAGGACTCACAATCTCTGGCTTTACTGTCATTATAAACACACATGAGTATCCATCTGCTGCCTGTGTCCTGAGCTAGGCCCCGGCCAGGAGCTGGGATGCCAGGGTTGAGTTAGTATCATCCTTCTATCTTTAAAAGTTCACTTTGGTAGGGGGATAAACAAGTAACAAAACAGAAGTAACACCTGCCCTTCCAACTGAAAACAGCTAGCATAGTGGCAGCACAGAGACTGGGACAATTAAGTGGCAGTGTGCAGGCTCCCTAGAAGAGGAAGGCCTGAGCTGGGTGGACAGGGTGCAGGAGGAGTCCCATGGGCTGGCAGGGAGGGCTCAGGGCACACTACACACCACACCAGATGGGCAGAGGCAATGATAGCAACAATATGGCCAACGTTCCTATGCAGTATTCCCCCAGAGGGAAGAGTGCCTAATGATGCCTGCCCTTTATCACCAGGGCTCTGGGCCTGCTCTCTTCCCTGTCTTCATTTGAAGACTTCATCTTTCAGGGTTGGTTAAGCCTGCACTTCTGAGCAGCATTCCCTGCTCCAGCATCTCCTCCACTGTCCTTCCCTATTGTATGAGCTGGGGCATCCTATGTCTCCCAGTGTACTCAGAATACACCGCTGCGCATGCCAATCTGTCTCCCAGCTCAATGCATGATGTCAGGCACACTTCTATGCGAAATGCATCATGACTTTCCTGATGACCCAATAGCGAGCAGGCTCTGAATAAGTTAATAAAGGAACGAAGACTTTGTGAACTACCAGTGGTCTGTTGAACACTGGTGGCTTGGGGACAGCAGGAGGGAGGCCTCATGGCTCACTCAATGCCTTGGCACCACAGGATACCAGTATGAAAGATCATACCAGGTAGACAGATCGGCTTCCAGCAGCATGGCAGGTCAGATAAGCAACATCCCTTCTGCTGAAACAACTAAAAATGCTGGACTCAAAGTCTTGGAGACGCTGTACAAACAAGCTGACAAGAAAGGAATACATAGGATAAAGAGGGAGGGAAAGTCTTATCTGTGGAGAAATCTGGCAGGGGCCATTTTTAACAAGTGATCAACCAGAGCCCCAACCTCCCAGAATGCACCTTGTTCGAAAATGCCCAGAGGCAGTCCTGAAGGACTTACCAGGTCCTCATTTGACCCCACACTATGGAAGCTCACCATGCAGCAACAGGGTAAAGAGTCCAAAGAGCAGGGCATTCCGTACAACAGATCTGGACTCTTCCAGACAGTCTGTGGCAAGAAACAAGGGGAACTCAGGGGGAATGTTCCTCATTCATGAGACTAAAGAGATGGAATGGCCGAGTGCAACCCGTGATCCTGGAGTGGATTCCAAGCTCAAAGGCACTAAAAAAAGGCATGCATGGGGCATTTGGGGAAATGTGACTAAGGCTCCATGTCAGCTCATTGCTAAATTTCCTGCATGTCAACTATGCTGTCTGCACTCAGGAAAGCCATGCCTAAGTATTGGGTTGTCAGTATTAAATTGTTGTAAGTACTGGTTGTTTCTATGTATTTTTGCATAGAAACAGAAAAAAAAAACACATCATGACTTTCCCAACAACCCAATATTTAGGAGCAAAGCGTCATGATGACTGTGAGTAACTCTCAAATGGTAAATGGCCCAGGGTTGGGGCCTATGTTGAAAAAGGGGGAGACTGGGGGCTGGCAGATGGCATGGTAGTTAAGCCATGGTGATCATGGTTGGAGTCCTGAACCTGGTGGTTTGCTTTCTCACTTTCTCCTTCTCTCTCTCTGGTCAAATAAGTAATAACAACAACAACAACAACAACAAATAACGTTAAATAAATAATTCTTAAAGAAAAAAAAGAAAAAGGGGAACCAGCAGTTAGCATAATGGCTATGTCGCTGGACTCCCACGTAGCCGACCGTGGTTCGCGTCCTGGACCCAGTGGCTTAAAACTCCCGCCGGGCGCATGTGCATACATGCCCAAGATCCCAAGAGGAAAATGGAGGAGAAGGGATTGCGGCGTGACCATCCCCCCCTGGGGGGTGATTTCTCGCTGTCTGTCTCTATGTCTCTCTCTGTCTGTCTGGTGAGCGCACGCACCCTATAGCGAAAATCTCTCAAAAAAAAAAAAAAAAAGGAAAAAGAAAAAGGGGGAGATGACACCAACAGACTTGGAAGTTGTGCTAGCTGACAACAGTATTTTGAAGTAGTAATGGGCAAGCTTTTTAACCAATGAAAGAGAATGACTTATGTTACACAAAGACAATTAAAGAAAAAGTTGGAAACTCGGAAGAAGTGCTTTCTTGTAGTGGCTTTCATAAACAGTACCGCCAAAGGAGGCCTTGCCTAGGACCCAAATAACCCGTCGGACTAGGGGCAGACAGCACCTGGACCTGCAAAAGCCTGAGGATAATGTGAGCAGGGGAAAAGGCTGACAGGACTTCAGGGGTTTTTAAACAGAACTATTCAGAAGAGAAGACTCCTCCATTTGAGCTGTGAACTATTGGTTTCAGGGACTAAGACTAATGAAAATTTTGCGTAGAGACTTCACCCTCCAGACCCCACTTTAGAGTGCTTCCAAGCACTGAGTGTCTAGACAGGTCTAAGTGAACAGTAGCTAAACATCTGAATACTATTAGGGTCAGAATGTTCCTCAATTCCCACTGTATCTGACATACAAAGGGAGAAAAATGGAACTGCAGAGAGATTGCATATCACCTCCTCTTGCATGCCTCTGAACACTCTTCAAAAAATTAGGAAGAAATGTATAACCCATCGGATGACCAGAAATCACCACAGAGGCACAAGAAATGAGAACCCAAGAAAATACCTCTCCCCCAAGGGAAAAGAACAACTTCTCTTCATCCGAAGACAGTACAATTGAACTTGTGGAAATGTCTGATAAAGAATTTAGAATATTCAGGGAAAAAAAGTATTTAGAATATCTGGGATCAGCAGTTGGCGTAATGGCTGTGTTGCTGGACTCCCACATAGTATACCGTGGTTCGAATCCCAGACCTGTGGCTTAAACTCACGCCGGGTGCGTGTGCATGCGTGCCCAAGATCCCGAGAGGAGAATGGAGGAGAAGGGATTGCGGAGTGGCCATCCCCCTGGGAGTGATTTCTCACTTTCTCTCTCTCTCTCTCTCTGTCTTTCTGGCGAGTGCATGCACCCTGTAGCAAAAACATCTAAAAAAAAAAAGAATTCATAGTGACACAGCTAACAAAGTTGCAAGACAAGAGAGACAATGAACTTCAGAAGATGCAGGAAAAATGGCCAACAAGTTCTTGCACTATCTGAAAGAGGTGAGGAAGTTCTTGCACTATCTGAAAGAGGAAATACACACCATAAAAAAGAATCAAACAGAACTGTTAGAGATAAAGTCTGTAATACAGGAAATCAAAACCTCCCTTGAAAATATTAAAAGCAGATTAGATCATGCAGAAGATCGAATCTCAGATGAAGACAGACTCTCTGACCTAGAAAAATTCACCAAAAAGACTGAGAAAATAACTGCGAAAAAATTGAGAATAATATACGTATAATACTAGATACCATTTAACATCCAAACATCCAGCCAGATCACTGGTATCCTAGAAGGTGAAGAGACTAATATGGACTTTAATAATCCATTCCATGAAACCCTGGAAGAAAACTTTCCAAATCTAGGGAGGCATTCAAAAATCCAGAGCCAAGAAATACAAAGGACCCCTAGAATCAACCCAAGAAGATCTTTTCCAAGACACATTATTGCCAGACTCACCAAAACCACAGACAGAGACAAGATACTAAAATGAGAGAAACATCATGAGAGAAACATCAAGTTACCTACGAAGGATATCCCATCAGGCTAATAGCGGATCTCCCATTCGGAAACAATGCGAGCAAGGAAAAAAAGGGAAAATATATTTGAAGTGTTAAGTGAAAAGCAATTTCAACCAAGAACACTATACCTGGCAACATTATTTCTCATATGGGAAGAAAAGTCAAGAATATTCTCAGATAAACAAAATCTGAAAGAATTCACGAATACCAGACCAGCTCTCTAAGAAATTCTGAAGGGAGTGCTATACCAAGAAAACTAAATACAGACACACAGAAATAAGAGTTTAAAAACTCAGAAAATGGGCAACTTAATGGGAGAGACAAGTCCAGAACTGAATGTTGTCTTCCAGAATTTACACGGAAAAATCAGACCACAGCAGAAGATAAAGTACATGAGAATGAACTGGTAAAATAGAATTTTATGACTTTTGACCGAAACATTACTGATTTTCTTCTGTATTTTGTTTCAAGCTATTGATAGGTTCATATATCTACAATTTGAACAGACTCCTAACCTGTTTCCTGGTTTTAAGTCTTAAGCAAATTTCTCTCTCTCTCTTTGGAGAGGTTTTTGCTATAGGGCGCGTGTGCTCACCAGAAAGACAGAGAAAGACAGAGAGACAGAAAGCGAGAAATCACCCCACATGGGGGATGGCCATACCACAATCCTTTCTCCTCCATTCTCCTCTTGGGATCTTGGACATGCACGCACACGCACCCGATGTGAGTTTAAGCCACTAGGTCCGGGACTTGAACCGTGGTCGAATACATGGGAGTCCAGTGACATAGCCATTACGCTAACTGCTGATCCTAAGCAAATTTCTCTTAGCATTTAAAAATCTTGACTTATTAAAGCTCAAACTGCTTTTCTTGAAATTAAAAAATATTATTATATTCATTCTACTCACTGAGTTTCATGCCTAAAGTCAGACATGTGTTCACCGTAATGTATATATCAGCTGAACTTGTTATTGAAATTATTTAGATTAATTTATTTTTTGAATCAATAAAATATGTGTGTGGAGGAAGGAATGGAAAGCAACTGTAGATACCAGAAATGGTATGGGAGGAGTGTGAAAAATGGCAGTGGGTTAGAAATAGGGAATCAAAAAAAAAAATATATATATGTATAAGAAACAAGAAATGGAAAATTTTTTGTTGACAATAACATGTTTGATTAAGCCACTTTACAGTATATTCTTGATGGGAAATCACATTTGTATGCTGTGATGATGTTCAGTGAATGAATGTAAAATAAACTTTTAAAAATTAAAACAAACAAACAAACAAAAAACCAGATTCATGACTCTTATTGTATGATTTGCAGGAGTTTTTTCAGGAACACACTGAAGTAGAGAAGCCCTTCACAAATCTTTAATGCCTGCAAAGCATGATGCTAGGATCTTGAGTAATAAAATGGCATTCAGTGAGTTTGCCGCTAGAATGCAGACATTAGAGCACCTCTTTCACTAGACCTAGTCAAGGAAAGTTCATGAAGGAAAATCCAACTTGAAGGAATCTTGTTTTCAGGCCATATTACTGTATCCAGAGGGTCATGATGGTTAAGAATTACCTTAATTTTCATAATGGAAGTAGCCTATAGTAACCCTGCTTGAAAAGGCCCAGAAAGCAGTCCTGGAGGACGTACCTTGGGCCTCACCTGGCCCAAGACTCCCACATGATTCAGGGATGCCAACAACAGCTGCCAGGTGCTGCTGGCCTGACAATTGCAGTTGAGGAGGGACTGTAATTCCCACCCCGAGCTTTTCAGTCTAATAAAAAGAGTTAAAAGTCTGAAAAGTCAGGTGATGGTGGCAACACAAACTTATTTTCCACTTGACCTGGAATCCAGTCCCTTCCCTGCTACCTCCCAAGTACACTTGAGATAAAGTCCCAGAGCCCCAGTCAATGGCCTGACTTTTCTTAATTTCACTCATGTTTGCTTTAGGCCAATTTCAGAAGCTAACATTTTTCAGCACCTTTCATTTCCAATTATCCCATGGAGTTACATAAAGGGCCAAAGTACCTCAGGGGACCAGGAAGCTATGGGCTAGGTAGTGGCTACTTTCCCCAGGTGAACCGTGTGGGATGAGAGGAGAGAATTAGTTTCCTTGTACTGGCTGCTTCCACCCTAAAGTGACAGTTGCCTGGTGCCTGCAGTTCCACCCTGAGCTACAGAATCTCAGAATCAAGGCAGCATCTCTGCACAAATGAAGGCAGCAGTACTTTGAGAGACCAGAGTCTGTCCTTTAAAAAAATGAGTTTTTTTTTTTTTTTTTTTTTTTTTTTTTTTTTTTTTTGCCATTTTACTAAACTATTGCACCAGAAGTGTCTCAGTGGTCTCTGGGGAACAAAAGGGGATATGGTTCAGCTCCAGGGCAATAACAGTAAGAGCCTTTAGTTCAGTTGCCCTGCTCTGAATTCAGTGTACTTTTC